TAATATAATATAATATAATATAATATAATATAATATAATATAATATAATATAATATAATATAATATAATATAATATAATATAATATAATATAAGTCTTCTAAATGTGGAGTCAGATTCATCTTTCCTCCCTTCGATGGGAGACCCTGAAAATACCACAGTGATGACTCTGACTCCATGTTCTCAGAAGGCTAATTTAGTATTTTATGATACTATATTATGTTAAAGAATACTATACTAAAGAATACAGAAAGGATACTTACAGAAGGCTAAAAAGATAATAATTAAAACTCCTGACTCTTTTCAGAGTCCTGGCACAGCTTGGCACCAATTGGCCAAAGAGTGAAAACAACTCACAGCAGAAATCAATGAAACAATCACCTGTGGGTAAACAATCTCCAAACACATTCCAAAGGAGCAAAACACAGGAGAAGCAAAACAGATAATTATTGTTTTCCATTTTCTCTGAGGCTTCTCAGCTTCCCAGGAGAAAAATCCTGGGCAAAGGGGTTTTTCCAGAAAATGTGAATGCCACAGCAGATCGTCCTGCCTGTCCAGAAAATTACTGAGAAGAGAGCAGATTTTGGCTGAAAGGCAATGACAAGGTAAGGACAGAGTCTTAGAACAATTTCTGTTGGCAGATGCTGTGAGTACATCAGGTCAGCACAAGCTGATCCAAGGAGATAAAATTTACTTTGCACGGGAATTGCTTTCTCACTTCCATGGCTGCACCTTCACCTTCCCTGAAGACTCTCTTCAGCTTGTGCACAGATTCAGGCTGTGCCAAAGCTGCAGGGAAGGTCTTCTGGCTAAAACCTGCTTCTCTTGAAGTGTGCTGCTTCAGAATAACAGAAGCATTTACCTTTGTTCTGCCAGAAATTAAATATGAAAATAACCTGTGCCTTGGCTCTGTTCTTTCGAAGGGCACAAGCATAGCCTGAGCCACATCAGTCAGGGCAATCCCTCATAGGAGACATCTCCCTGTCCTATACAAGTGATTTATATAAAAAATTCAGCCAAGGAATTCCAAAAGGTCCAACTTTAACACTTGGTACAGCTTCTGGTGGCTTGTAGTAAAAAGCTCAATTCTGTTCTCCTGCACCCTTCAAGTTTTCATGAATAACAATTATGCACTTCTTTCAAATGCAGTTATCAATCCATTTCCCACCTTTTGCCCTGCATAAAAATCTTTGATATCTGTTTTATGAACATAAATTCAGGCAAGTTGTCTCAAATTTGGGCCTGAACCCAGGCAGGGGAGTGGGACATTCAGACAGTGCTGTCCACCAAACATTTCTGTGGGCAGAACAAGCACAGATTTTGCTCTTTGTTTATTACTGCAGCTGCAATCATTAATTAGCCAAAACTAAGGTGTGAAGCCACATCTGCAGCGAGGAGCAATGGAGCTCAAGTCTGCCCAAAGGAATCTGCTCAGCTGTTTCCTCCACTACAGTAACAAACCAGAACACAGAGCAGAGTGGGCAAGAACCCAGCTGTGCCTGAGCCAGCAGCTCCCCACACTGGCACCAAAGAGCAGCTGTAACTATTTCATAAACTCCTTAGGAAAGCCATAATCCCCAGGATTAAACTCCTTTTGTTATAAACTGAGCAAACCACCTGAGCAGCTGTGGGCTGAGATCCCTGAGTTACCTTGGGGTGCCTCTGGAGATGCTCCTCGAGTGTGCGGATCTTGGCAGTCAAAATAGCAACTGTGAAGGACAGAGAGAGAAGCTGTGTGAGAGCAGCAGCTTTCCCAGGTGATTTAGGATCATCTGCCTTGCCTCAAGCTGCCAGCTGAGCACTGCTGCCCCTGCAGGGACCCACAGCAGCACAGCAGGGGCTGCCAGTGGCAAAACACTGCCCAAAACAAAACAGTGCTCAAAACAAAACAGCGTCCAAAATAAAACAGTGCCCACAGCAAAACACTGCCCATGGCAAAACACTGCCCACAAGAGCACAAAAAACACTGCCCACAGCAAACACTGCCCATGGCAAAACACTGTCCAAAACAAAACAGCACCCAAAACAAAACACTGCCCACAGCAGCACAAAAACCACTGCCCACAGCAAACAATGCCCACAGCAGCAGAACAAACACTGCCCACAGCAAAACACTGTCCACAACAAAACACTCCACAACAAGCACTGCCCACAGCAAACACTGCCCAAAGCAGCCCCTGCCAACAGCAAAAACTGCCCAAATCAGTCCCTGCCCACAGCCCACAGCACAACAAACAAGAACACACAACCTGCAGGGCTGTGATAGTTATGAGGCTGTTTAATTAGAGGGTAAGGTTTTAGCAACTCATATAAATTTATCTGTGAATTTATTCCTCTTGCACTCATTCAGTTCCCAGTGATTTGACATTTGTTTCACCTCGTGGGATTTAAGCTCTGGGGGAGCAGACAGCAATAAAAGGTTTTTTTCCAAGGGTTGTAGCGAGGTCTTTGGGATTTCAGGCTCTGGAGGGAGGGCTGGTGGCATCCTGAGGCACTGAAGGGCTTTGCTGATGACAAAGGAGCTGTCAGTGTTGGTCACTGCAACATGACCTTTGTCCCTGCTCTGTCCCCACTGTGCCTCAGCCACAGCTCTCTGGTGCACAGAAAAATTTGGGTTCTGTGGCTGAATTTGGTTCATTTTGGTAACAGCTGCAGCTCAGTGCTTCAAATCACAGAAGCACTCCAAACAGAATAAAGCACAGAGTGCCTCTGGAGGGTGGATGTGGAGCAGGAATTTGGAAGCAGCCCAGCAGCCTCTGCAACACTCCCAGACCTGGAGCAGCCCTGCAGGGCATCCTGCAGGCCACCTGCCCCTCAGCAGCTCTCCAGGAGGAGATTCTCCTGAATTCTACAGCAAACTGCAAGTGCTGGGGTGGGAACAGCTGAACAGAAGCAGAGAGGTTTCATCTGCCAACAATACCCTTCCCTTTTTAACTTGCCTTGCACCTCAAAGGAGCCATTGTCATGGGGAGACCTCCTGACCTTCTCCACCAGCTGCTGTGTCTTCACCTTCAACTTCTCCCTCTGTGGGGCACAGAAAAAAGGTTGTCACTGCCCCAGAACACTCAGCTCTCTTCCCAAACACCCACATAAAGGCTTTGCAATTCAGACTTTCACTCAGTGCTTTTACATCCTTTTGAGCTGAAGTGGCAGCATAGAGGAATGGCATGGAGATCTTTGCACCACTTTCCTACCTGTTTGTTTTTTGGGCATATGGAAAGTAAAAATAACTTGAAGGACATCTGCTGTCCAGGGCAATGGTTTCCAGAACACAGGGGGTCAGCCATGAGCAGCAGCAGAACAGCTCAGTGCCCTGTCACCCCTGAACACTTTGTTCTCCCAATTTAATATGCACTTTAGTGTGATAAATTTTAAGAGCAAACTCTGGTTTTTCATCACCCCATATTTACAGTCACTTAGAAATACAGTAAGTGAAAGATATTTAACAACACAGACAAGTCTCACATGAAGGTGTTCATTAAATCTGTTTTATTTTCAAGCAAGCAGAGTGACACTGACCTGACTTGCCATCTCCAGGGACAGCAGGCGTTTCACCACATCATCCACGCTGCAAGGGATGGCAAATTAGCTTATAAACCAGATAAAATTCTATTTAACAACAGAAATTAACTCAGCTTCTCAGAACATCCTCACTTTTCTCAGCTTTAATTTACTCTAAAAATTTTCAGGGACTCTCCTCCTGCCAAACCTGGCAGCCATAAACTGGTGCTCACTTTCCTAAGCAAAATCATGGCTCAGATTACAGGAGTATTAAGTAGTTTTGCTGCAAAAATATTTAATTTTAAGGCTGGTTCCTTCAGAGAGCAGTGAAAGTCACAGTTGGGCCACTGGGGGCCCTCCCTGCACCACACATGAGCAGCTCTGCATCAGAGAGCAACAGTGCTGAGCCCCAGAGCCCAAATCTGGCAGCAGCTGAATTCATGTGGAGTTGTTTAATGACTCTCTCCATCACCTGAGCTCAGGACAGGCACAGAATATTTGTAAGATGACTGTTTCTAGTATCTCAAGGTTATTTAATGTGGTTTTTTTTTGTTTTCTTATGGACTACAAAGCCCACAGAGGATGTTGGCAACCAGCACTTGATCTCACATGGAGTGACCAATCACTGACCACTGTCTGTGTCTGTAAATTTGATTTCAAACTGACTTTGTGCCCACAGAGCATTAATAACTAATTAGTGAGCAGGTGCCAGCTCACACACACCTTATTTTTAAGGTACAAACCCCTGGAGACAGCAGCCACTCCCTGTCCATACCTGTTCATGATGGGGAGATTGGCATAATCCTTCTTCAGCATGGTGGGAGGAAGGTCATCCAGATGGCTGGGGATGTCTGCAGAGAGAGGAACATTGGGGGAAGAGCAGGACAAAGTCAGAGCTCTGACATGTGCTGAAGAACTGAGCAGACCCAGCCAAGAGGGCAGAACTGAGTGACAAAAACAGGTTCAGTCTCTTCCCTTCAGCACTCTGGATTTACAATATGGTGTATATGTATTTACAGCAATCCACCAAGCTCAGAGATCACAGAATATCAAAACAGTTTTGGCTGGAAGGGACCATTAAAGCCCATCTGATTGCACCCCCTGCCAAGGCAGGGACACTGCACTGTCCCAGGGTTCTCCAAGCCCTCTCCAACCAAGCCTTGGACACTGCCAAGGATCCAGGGGCAGCCACAGCTGCTCTGGGCACCCTGTGCCAGGGCCTGCTCACCCTCACAGATCTCCTGCTACTGATAATTGTTCATTTCCCCACATTCAGGAGAAGGGGAATCTTCTGAGCTTGCAAGGAACCATTTCTGGAATGATTTCTGTGCCATGAGGGCACAGCTCTGAGCATGCCAACAGCAAAACATTTCTCCTGTGGATGCAGACATACCTTTCCTCTTCTTGCTCACGGGTCTGGCATAGCCCCTGGCTGCCTGGAGCACGGGACTGCAGCCTGGGTGGGAGAGACAGAAAGGATTCAGACAGGAGTGCACTTCCCCAGCCAAATACTCTGTACAGTCATCAATGCTCTGTGCTGTGTGTTCCTCTGTCCAGTCAAACACTGCTGGGTGTGGGGGCAGAGCACTGAGCCTTTGATCAGTGACCAGGCAGATCTTTGTCCCAGATGTGTTTGGGGGGGCTCAGGGCGGCTAACACAGACTCTGGTGGTCAGTGACCAGGCAGATCTTTGGTCCCAGAGGTGTGGGGTGGCTCAGGGTGGCTAACACAAACCCTGGGTGATCAGTGCCCAGGCAGATCTTTAGTTCCAGAGGTTTTTGGGGTGGCTCAGGGTGGCTCTCACACAGTGCTAACACAGAATCTGGTGGTCAGTGACCAGACAGATCTTTGTCCCAGAGGTGTGGGATGCTCAGGGTGGCTCTCACACGGTGCCAACACAAACCAAGCTCTGCTGCCTGAGAGTGGGCAAATGCCAAGGCTGGAGCAGCAGGGCTGGCTGCACACACTGAGCAGAGTGAGAGCTCCCCTGGGCAAGTGTGATCATTTAGAGGGCTTAAACTGTTGAATTAACTGATTAATTAATTAATCTCATTAGCGACATGGATGGGCTGCTCTGTGCCACCGCAGTGTCAGAGCTCAGGGGCAGTGACACCTGAGGACAACCTTTGTCTGACACAGACGCGAATATTCATCACCAGCCAGGACTCGGTCATTCTTTGACCTTTCAAGAACAAACTCTTCCAGCTGCTCGTTCAGGGCCCTGCTGCTGGGATCAGGACCCACTTCAGGCCGCTCGCCTGTGCCCGGCTCGGCCACCCCCTCTCGTCCNTGTGTGCATCATCCCGGTCTGAGTGTGCATCCTCGTGATCTGTGTGCGCATCGTACCCGTCTGAGTGTGCATTGTACCGGTGTGAGTGTGCACATCATCGTGATCTATGTGTGCCTTGTCCTGATTGATCCATGTGTGCAATCGTCCCAGTCTGAGTGTGCACATTGTCCCGGTGTGAGGAGTGCTCATCCTCCCATTCTAAGTGTGCATTGTTCTGGTGTGAACGTGTGCACCATTGTGATCCATGTGCACATCATCCCGATCCGTGTGTGCATCATCCCAATCTAAGTGTGCATCATCCCAGTCTGAGTGTGATCTTCCTGGTGTGAGCTGTGCACATGATCCTGATCCATGTGTGCATCATCCCAGTGTGAGTGTGTGCATTGCCACAACCCATGTGTGCATCATCCCCGGTTCCTGTGTGCATTGTCCCTGTCCCTGTTCCATCATCCCAGTCCCTGTGTGGATCATCCCAGTGCATAAGCACAGCCCCAGCACATTGAGGAATGGTTTGGGTTGGAAAGGACCTTAAAGCCCATCCAGTGCCACCCCTGCCATGGCAGAGACACCTTCCACTATCCCAGGTGCTCCAAGCCCTGTCCAACCTGGCCTTGGACACTTGCAGAATCCAGGAGCAGCCACAGCTTCTCTGGGCATCCTGTGCCAGGGCCTCCCCACCCTCACAGGGGAGAATTTATTCATAATGTCAAATTTAAATGTCTTGAGTTTCAGTTTATAATTATCTAAGAAGATGTGGCAGTGCAAACCTCTGGACTGGCTGTGCTGACAGGGCACAGGCAGCCCTTGAGCTGTCCCCACTGACAGACCTGCAGGGTAGTGCTGGAGCCCCCAAGTCCTCTCACAGACCAACCTGCCCAGCACTCAGCCTGAAATTAAACTTTTAACCACTCAAACCACCAGCTGCCCTTCCCAGGTGCCCACACCACATGAGCAAAGAGGTTTCAGGTCTTTGGGCAGGAGTTTATTGTCAGCCTGGCTGTGCCAGCCTGGCAGTGCCACTACACAGGTGTCCCCTCCTGTGCCTGCTTCTCCTGCACCTGCTTCTGCTGTTCCCGTGCAGCTCTTGCTCTCGCCTGCCACTCTCTCCTCTTCTTCAGTCTCTCAGCTGCTTGCAGCTTCTGCTTCTCCTGGAACACCTGTGGAAGCAGAAGGGAGAGAGATAAAGCAGCCTGCAGAGCTGCTGCCCAGGCTGTCTGCTGCAGG